ACAGAGCCAGACTCCGTCTCAACAACAATAAAAAAAAAATTGTTCAAATAAATTATTCACATCTAAATATTATGCAACCAATAAAAAACAATGTAGATCTATATTTGTCAATTGTAAGATGTCCACAATATATTACTGAACGGAAAAACAGTAAGGCCTCAGTTTTGAAAAATTATTTATCATTTTGAGTAGGTATGACTAGAGAGATGTTAGATAGTTTTCAAAATACTAGGAGTGTCTATTGCTGGGTGGTGGCAATGTGGTTATTTTTACACTCTTTTTCCTTTTCTGAATTTTTACCACAACATATGTTTTTATAATCAGAAAAAGTCAAGTTGTTTATTATTTTCAAAGCAAACTCATTATTTTCTAAGCTAATGGGAGATTCTCAGGGTGGGAGAATTCTATCTTCTTCCTTTAGTATCTGCAAGTTTTCAAGGAAAATGTTACAGTCGCCCTGGAGCTCCTTCCCCTGCTATTGTTGCTGCTGCGCTGTTGTTGTGATCGTGGTGGGAGGCCTGGCTTTGTGCCTTGTTTGCACTTCAGCACAGCTTCAGTTCTCATGGCGTCTGGGGGAGGTGGCTCAGTGCTGCAAATAATCCTCTGATTTGCCCAACTGTCTTTGGGTGCTGCCCATCTCGGCCATCCGCATGCCTAGGACAGTAAATCTTTTCTAACCAGCATCTCTCTCCTTTTCCCTCCCCCTCACCCCATCTGTAATGTCTCCCACAGCAAAGCCTCCAAGTGCCATTGTGTCTCGTGGGCTGGGCATGTGCATTTCAGCTGTCTGCACCAAAAACAGCCTGAGGACCTGTGAACTGGTCTGGAAGAGTTCTTTTTGATTTCATCATTAAATTGCTTTGCAAAGAGGGACACTTTCTGGTTTAAATTCTTCTGTCACTAATACTGAATCATGCGTAGCTGTCCAAAAGAAATAAAGATCTGTTATTGCTGTTCCTTGTCAAACATAAATAAAGTTATGGTTTAAATTCAGTAGTTTTTTGAGCAGCTGAGGTCACCTCTAAGTTGGTGGAATAATTTTGCCGTTTTTCAACCTGTGTTTCACACAAGGTTGTTAAAGGAAAAGTGCTAACAACTTTGAAATGAGAAGTCTTTGGTCTCTGTGTCTCATCACTTAGACCACATTCTTATTTTTGTACTTTCACTCACCTTGACCAGAGTAGAGGATCACATAAGGGTATATTTTCCAAATAAAGCTGTTTGGATCATCATCGTTTTAACAAAGACAATCCCTAACATCTGTAGAGTGCATTCTCCACACTGCTGCCAGGGTTGTTTCACTAAGTCACTAAGACAAGTTCTTAGCACGTTACTTGCTTGCTTAAAAACCTTTGATGAGCCTCCATTGCCTATGTGATAAAGTCCAAACTCCTTAGCTCACCATTCAAGGGCCTTCCCCATTTAACCCCAACCTTGCCTCCCTCCACCCCCTACAGGGACAGCACAGAGGCCACTTCCTGGCTTTACGCAGTTGGTTCTTTTGTCTGGGCTGTCCTTTGCCTCTACCTCAAGGCTCTGCCTCTGCCTCTCACCCTCTCTGGGAGACTTCCATGCTTCCCCCCAGAGCACCACAGTGCTCTTCTTAAAAACCTTACCAAGCAGACGCAGTTTATATCATTTTGTCTTCTCCACTAGATTCTGCACCCTCTGGGGAATCAGTTTCCAAGTCTGGCTAAGCATCTGGTCTCCTGGGCAGCATGATAAAAATACCATCCCTGAGCCCCACACAGATCAACAGAACTAGAATCTCTGGGAGCAGAGCCCAGGAATCTGTGCATTTAAAGCAGTTTTCCTGGTGATTCTGACGGGCAAGCAGGCCTTGTTACCACTGGCCAGGATGAGCGTGCATTTTCCGTGGGCAGGTGACAGCTAGGAGGGAGCAGAGAGAGAGGGAGGAGGCCGAGAGTTCAGGTGCACTGAGGGCCCGCCTTGTGCCAGGTTCTGTTCTGGGAGCTTTTATACCTGCTCATTCAATTTCAACCACCTCAAGAAAGAGAAGATGGTATGCCTATGACTCCAGATGAGGAAACCAAAGCTCAGGGTGTTCGTCTGAGGTCCCCACTAGTACATAGTGGAGCTGTTAACAAAACTGGCTCTGCTTATCTCTTGGGACTCACATTCTTCTTTCTTAGCCCATATTAAATGAATGCTAGGTAAAATACATGAATATCTGTGTTTGTGGGTGCTCTGTGCCTCACTCCCCTGCATTCAGTCAGCCTGCAAGATCTACCTATTCTGTCTGCTCACGTCCATTCTCTGTCATGGAGACCTGGGAAACAGCCTCCTAATCCATCTCCTACCATCTACCATCTCCCCTCACATTCATTCTCTCAGCTGTGGTGGAGTGATCATTGAAACCTGCAAATCTGCCAGAGCTACGCTGCTTATGGTACATTTTACTACATACAAGCTTTTCATTTTCATAGAAATAAAGGTGTCTATTTCTGCCTTGATAGCTTTAAGGTTTTCAAACTTAATAATGAGTATTGAAGCAGGCCTTCCCAGCCCTCTAGACTTCTAATGTAAATGACAATCCAGGGGTTAAGTTTTATAATATATTAAGAGTTTGTACACGTTGACACGAAAGACACATCTTAGAAAAATGGGCAATAAAGTATGCATAAGTGATTCACAGATGAGAAAATTCACCTAATCTACAACCAAATGAAGGGACTCCAATTACTGATGTCACTCAACCCCCCTCAGACTACAGAAAATTTAAGCTAGCTATGACACTTAATGCTCACAGCAGCGTGGGGAGAAGCATACTCTTGTAAACTGTCTGTTCAAATGGGAATTTCTCCAGCCTTTCTGGAAAGCCTTCTAGTAGCATGTTAAAAGTAAAAATTGCAAATACTATCTTCTAATTTTCCATTCCTGGGAATCTATTTTCTAGTATCAAACCCCTGGGATAAAAGACCTCCAGACGAGTGTATTTACTACTGCATTGTTCAAATGCAAAACCCGGAAATTATGTGACTGTCTGTGTCTAAAAGAATTGTTAACTTTATTACGGTACATCCACATCATGGGATAACAAGGCCCCATTAAAAATGTGAATTCGAATTACACTGACCTGGGCGCATTTGTATGAGGTATGGTTGAGTGAGGAACACAATATACACAAAACAATATGATCCTTTGTAAGATGTTACCCCATGAATACATCCACACAAAGCCTTGTAGATGTACAGTGTGTGTGAGTGTGTGTTTATGTGTGTGTTCATATATGTTATATGAACGTGGAGAAAACTAGGTGAGGTTGTTACCGAGGTGTGAGGGTCGCTGACAGTTGGGAGTAGAGGAAAAAGGGAGGGAGTAAGTCCCAGCCACAAAGATGAGGGAGAAAAGGTTAGCAAAAATTGTAATAAACCGTATCGGTGTGCATGATATGATCATATATGTGCACCTACACAAAGTTACATACACATGTATATGTGTGTTTGAAAAAATTAACAATGCACATCTAATCAGCTTATTCCTCCACCTGAAACCTGTCAATGGCCTGCTGTTACCCTGTGGTTAGATCCAGAGTTTCTTGTCTGGCTGTAGAGGCCCCTGCACCCCTCCCCCTCCTATAGGCTAGTCCCCTCCCCAGTCTCTGGGCTACAGACACATCTCCCCAGGGACCTCTGGTCCCCACCCCCTGTACCATCTCCTGCTCCTCTTTGGTTCTTCACACTTACTTTTGCCCTCTGCCCAAGACATCCTCCCTGATGCATTTTCCTGGAAGATTCTTACCTGTTTGTGTTTCTTTATTCTATATATGTAGGGTGCACACCATGATTTTCTGATGTACACATGCATAATGAAATGATTAATACCATTTAGACTTCAGCTTAAGCATCCATTTCTCAGGGAGCTTTCCCTTTTCCTTGACCCCCAGATGTGGTTAGCCTTCCTGATGTTCATTCCTATGGCCTCCTGCCCTTGCCGAAGTTCTATTTCTTTTATTTATTTTTTATTTTTTTTATTTTTTTGAGATGGAGTCTCGCTCTGTCACCCAGGCTGGAGTGCAGTGGCGCAATCTAGGCTCACTGCAAACTCTGCCTCCCGGGTTTACTTAAGCTATTCTCCTGCCCCAGCCTTCTGAGTAGCTGGGACTACAGGCGCCTGCCACCACACCTGGCTAATTTTTTGCATTTTTAGTAGAGGCGGAGTTTCATTGTGTTAGCCAGGATGGTCTCGATCTCCTGACCTCGTGATCCACCCGCTTCGGCCTCCCAAAGTGCTGGGATTACAGACGTGAGCCACCGGGCCTGGCCAGTTCTGTTTCTTTATCAGCCTCCGTTTCTGAACTTTGTGCAGATTTTCCCAACTGTAGTTTACGGCTAATTTGTTGCATCTGAATTGAATAAGAGCCTATGGCAGGGGCCAGCATGGCACCCTGGATCTCATCACGGTGGGCAGGGTAGAACACTTCTCCAACCCTTCTTGTCACCTGTGGCTCTGTCAGCTGAAATGAAGCTGTTTAGTTTCCTGTGGAAGCAGAAGGAAGCAGTTATGCCAGCGCGCATCATCTGCGAGGGCTGGGATCCTGTCCAGTACCGTCTCAAACTGTGCCCCCACTGCACCTCTGTGAGGCTCTGGCCGTCTGTGCTTCTTGGTCCCCCAGGGATCTCCGTTTACATCCCTCGGCTGCAGCCCTGCAGGGAGGAATCCGGGCAGTGGAAGCCCCATCATTACTGCCCCATAGAAGGCCACCTGCCCTGTGATCGTGTTTGGGGCCTGAAAGGCGGCTAACGTGAGGGTGACTTTAAATTCCAGAATGTGTCTGGACGCCTGCTGTGCCACCAGAGAACTAACTCAACAAGTGTGAAGGGAGTTCACACGGGGTACTTGACCTGGAGGACGCAGCAACCAAGTTAATCCCATGCTGTCATCGCAGGTTTCTAACTAAACCCGTTTATGAAGAAAAAGCAACACATTTACAGGAAGAAATAAATTAACTGAGTTCCTTTTCAAGCCGTATTGTTAAATTCTTTTTATAATAATAGCTTTATTTCTGCAAGCAGTTACATTTCTGTGTTCACAAAAAGCGGGGAAAGAAGGACAAGATTTTATGACTGTTTTTCCAGGAGACCTGAGGAAGTCAAATTTTCATCAAGGTCATTGCCCTCAGTAAGCTTGGAGAAAACACTCCAAACGTCTCGAGACTTGAAACATTTCAAAATGAGAAGGAAATGTGGAAATACACTAGGCTACATGGGTCTGTGAGACCTGGGGAGTGCTAATTCCAAGAGCTTTTTTATTAAATAGCTCGAGCGTCCTATCCCACTTGCGGTCATCCTGTCCTCTGCGCGGAGGGGATTGAGCAGGATAATAACTCCCATTAGCACTGCGGGAGGTTTCACATGTAAATCCCCTAGCAAATGGAAGCACAAATAGAGAACGTCCTGTTTAGTAAGTCAGCATAACTTGGGTGTTAGTTTTTTTCCCCTAGAAAAGTGCCCGTGGTCGCTTGCTATCTTTGAAGTCGGTGAGGCAGGCAGCACTCAGTCCGCGGTGTTTGCGGGCTTTTCCTTCTCTTCAGGGTTGTCCAGCATCCTCAGCCTCCTCTCCAGCCTCTGTCTCCATTCTTCTCTGAGTCTGCGGAGGGGAAACCGTGCACATACTCAGTGCATTCATCTCCAGCTATGCTCGTCCACTGAACCGTGGCTTTTTCTTCTCAAAGATATTTTAAAAAGAAACCCATTGTGTGTTCCCCTCCCTGTGTCCATGTGTTCTCATTGTTCAACTCCCACTTATGAATGAGAACATGTGGTGTTTGATTTTCTGTTCCTGTGTTAAGGGGAAGGAGAGCATTAGGACAAATACCTAATGCATGCGGGACTTCAAACCTAGATGACGGGTTGATAGGTGCAGCAAACCACCGTGGCACATGTATACCTATACAGTCTGCACACGTATCCTGGAACTTAAAGTAAAATAATAATTTAAGAAACCCAGTGCTGCCGGACACTGTGGCTCACGCCTGTAATCCCACCACTTTGGGAGGCCGAGGGGGGTGGATCACGAAGTCAGGAGATGGAGACCACCTTGGCTAACATGGTGAAACCCTGTCTCAACTAAAAGTACAAAAATAAAATTAGCTGGGCATGGTGGTGGGTGCCGGTAGTCCCAGCTACTCGGCAGGCTGAGGCGGGAGAATGGCATGAACCCAGGAGGTGGTGCTTGCATGAGCCGAGATTGCGCCACTGCACTCCAGCCTGGGTGACAGAGTGAGACTCTGTCTCAAAAACAAACAAACAACGCCCCCCCCCAAAACATGCTTTTTACAAATGAATAAAGAAAAAAATGAATAGTCACAGGGCAATGTCTGTGGATAGATGGCTTCATCCCAAATGTAATCCTTCCCCAATTGATAGGTGGATTTCATGTAATGTCAATCAAAATCCCAGCAAGAATTTTCTGTAGCTCTCAACAAGATGATTCCAACTTCTATACAGAAAAGCAAAAGTAGATTAGCCTTAATAAGTTTGAAGAACGCTGTTGAAGGACTCACACTACCTGATTTGAAGCTTAACATAAAGTTACCATCATCAAGGCAGTGAATAAACAAATAGATTATTAGCACAGAATAGAATAGAAAGTCCAGAAATAAATAGCCAGTTGATTTTTGACAAGGGGTTAAGGCTAACTCAATGGAGAAGGGATAGGCTTTTTAACAAATGGTGCCGGAACATTATGTATCTATATTCAAACAATAGGCTTGGAATCTGCTATGGTTTGAACGTGTGTGTTTCTCCTCAAATTCATATATCTAAATCCTAACTTCCAAGGGGATGGTAATAAATTCTGCTCGATTATGGGCCTGGGAAAGAATGGGAAGATTCTGGAGTCATGCTCGGAGGTCCTGGGGGTTAGATAATGTGTGCATATTACAGGAAAATCAGAATATACAGAAAAGAATTTAAAAAATTGAATTCACTTTCATCTTTCATTCTTATAAATAGCCCTACAAGGAGTATAATACTTAACAGTCTTTCCACATCCCAGTCTATTTTCCTCGGAGTGGCTCCCAGAGGTGAAATATTACCACTTAGAAGGTATAAATATTTTGAAGGCTCTGGGCACCTATTACCAGATTGGCTTTAGGAAAACTTCTTACTTACAACTGTGCTTAATTATGGGCCCAGGAAAGAATGGAAAGAATCTGGCACAAGGGCCTGTTGCTGGTTGGTGCCTGTTGTATAAACACATGAGCAAGCGGGGCCTGAAAGTTGAAATACTGTCAGAGAATGAGGCACATGGGGCAGTGCCGTCAAGACATTCACTTTGGGAGGCCGAGGCAGGCAGATCACGAGGTCAGGAGATCGAGACCATCCTGGCTAACACGGTGAAACCCCATCTCTACTAAAAATACAAGAAAATAAATTAGCCGGGCGTGGGGCGGGCACCTGTAGTCCCAGCTACTCAGGAGGCTGAGGCAGGAGAACTGCTTGAACTCGGGAGGCGGAGCTTGCAGTGAGCCAAGGTCACGCCACTGCACTCCAGCCTGGGCGACAGAGCGAGACTCTGTCTCAAAAAAACAAAAAACAAACAAAAAAAGAAATCGATGATTTATTGAGCTTATCTGACCTTCTACTTTGATATCTACAGATTAGTAATTTTCATAATTATATTTCTGCATCATGGTTATTAAGTATTTATCCTATATTTTAATTTGTAATCCACCTCTCCAACCTGGAGAATACTCAGGTTCACAAGCTTTTTTTGTTACATATCTCTAAAAGCCTCTGTAACTAAATCTGCCTTCACACACGTGACTTTTGTCACCTAGGATCTAGCTCACTAATAAGGGCTGCTGCCTGAGTGTTTCATTGAACTTGATGCACTTCTTAACCTCATGTGGGTTCATTGATTAACAAAAGGGACTGTAACTTTTACTGGGTGTGGTGGCCATGAAAATGCACCACTCAGATGTGAGGAGCAAAGCTGACTGGTGGCTGCAGCTTCTTTCCTTTTGTATTTGCCTCAGATCAATGCCAAGGCCAAACTTCTTATAGGTTGCTCTCAGACAGTGACTGGGCATGGTAGTGGTATTAATGCAGGCCTGTCCCAGCAAACTGCAGAACTTCTTTAACAGGTGGCTTTGGCTCACTGACTCCCCATTACTCTGGCCAAAACTTATTAGGGCTGCCCTGCTGTCTTCCCAATCCTAATTCCTTCTTTTTCTCCTTCACGAAGGTCAGACCTGCATCACAGTCTGATGACTTTCTTGCCTTTCTCTGGCTTCGTGGTGTGCTGAAGCTGGCTCATAGCAGTTCATGACAACCAATTATTAACTTTTCAGGAATTTTATAAGCTCATTATTAAATATAGACATTATTAAAAGTAAATGATATAAACTTATAATTAAATTATGTTAAAACAAGGACACTGACTATGCAAAATTCATTACTTCCTAATGATTTTACGGCATTTTACAATGTATGCTCTTCAGGTTACTTAGGTCTATTTCACCTGTATGGTGAAAGTACTACATGATGAGGTGTTACTGCCAAACACCTCTTCTGAACTTGTCTTCACTGACATCTGATTGGTAGCTTGAATAGACTGTGGTGGTAATATTTACACTATGGAAGTCAGCAAACACTATAAATCATGCATGACTTGATGTATCATTTTGTTCATTGTCTGAACTAAGGTTTGGCCCTAAGGCCAAATCTGGTCAGCCACCCATTTTGTAAATAAGGTTTTATTTTTTATTTATTTTTATTTATTTATTTATTTTGAGATGGAGTCTCGCTCTGTCACCCAGGTTGGAATGCACTGGTGCATCTCCACTCACTGCAAGCTCCGCCTCACGGGTTCACGCCATTCTCCTGCCTCAGCCTCCCATGGGCCCGCCACCATGCCCAGCTAATTTTTTTTTTTTTTTTTTTTTAAGTAGAGATGGGGTTTCACCGTGTTAGCCAGGATGGTCTCGATCTCCTGACCTTGTGATCCGCCCGCCTCAGCTTCCCAAAGTGCTGGGATTACAGGCGTGAGACACCGTGCCCAGCCAATAAGGTTTTATTGAAATACAGCGCTGCCCACCTATTTATATATTTTATTTACATATGGCTAGAGCTGCTTTCACACAATGGCACAGTTGAAGAGCTGCAATGTAGATCATATGATCTAAAATGTCAAAAATATTTACTGTCTGGTTCTTTTCAGAAAATGTTTGCTGACCTTTGGTCTAGACTTAAGAAAATGATGGACAAAATCTTAACATGGATTAAATGTAGAAGTGTGTCATGTCTGTAGCTAATACATTATAAATAGCAAAAAAAAAATTAGGAAATATTCTTTCAGTACTAGAAAACTATTATCTTCAATGACATGACTTTTTTTCTGAATTGGGTAGTAATCAAACATTTATTTGTTGTATGATTTTTTCAAACTATGGTTGAATTGCAACTATCAGTTGGCCCAGATACAAGAGGCTGGCAAAAATGAATAAAATCACATTTCATTATTATTCTCTGAGAATCAGGTGACTATATGGGATTTATAATAAAGTGCATTGTGCATTTTCTTATTGTTTATAAATTGTGTGGTATGCAGCTTTCAATATAAGTCAGATTTATAAACATATGTATGTATATACACACATACATTTTTCCTCCAGAGAGCCAGTTTTAAACATTCATCAGCACACCACAGTTTCCTTCCAATTTTTCATTCACAAGTGCGTCCTCCAACAAATCTCGTACACATCTGATCTCCTCTTGCCCTCTGCTTCCTAGAGGACCTGAATTAACACATTTGGCGTGATGCATTCATTCTAGGAAAAAAAAATTAGGAATCTGGGGTGCATAATATATTTATTCACTTTTTATAGCAGTTATACACTATTGCTAAATGGTAAAGAATCCAGGTCTCCATCTACCCAAATGTCTTTTAAATCTTGTTTTATGACTATTTAGACACTTTGCTGCTACTTTTTGGTCAATATCTTTCATTACTGTGTTGCTTCTGTTTATTTTGGGGTTCTCAGTAAACCGGTGAATAAAAATTTATATATGGTGCTTGCCTTTTGAAGTAGGGAAGGTCCACAGGAAGAAGATAATGCTTAAAACTTGGCTTACAAATTCCGATACATCCGAAGAGCCATACGACTGGCATTAAAGCTCAGAGAGAACATTTTTACCTTCAGCCTGGAAATATTGGCCTCACTTTTCAAATGGAGACGAGGTAATGTTTACTATTTCTTGTTCCAGATTCTTCTAATTTGTGGAGGAGTTGTTAATTCCTAGGAGCACAGATTGTCCTTGTTAAGTCTGGGGCTTACCTAGAGGGCAGGATGATATTTGTGAGATTCTTAAGTCATAATCATAATGTTATTCCTGGAGTGGGTGAGGACGAATATGCTAGGCACTAAACATATGGGTCAGTTTGGGTCCTCCAAGAAGCAGATTTGTAGGAAACGCCTGCGAAAAATCAACAAGGGGGGAAACTGAAGCAGTCAAGAAGAGCCTTTAGATTTCAGCACTGGTCTGACATCTGTGAAAAGAGAGTGGGGGAAGTAACGATTGAGTAGGAAGAACCCAACCTACAGCACAGTTCTGAGGAAGTTTGGGCTGGGCTGGTGGGGAGTCCCTGAGCAAATGCTGCCCCCAGAGGAGCCATGTCATGCAGGAATTGCCTGGAACTAGCACCCCTGCCACCCTCAGTAATTGGCTGGGAGCGGCCTGAGGGAAGTATGGCTTTGGCTCACACATGATGGTGGATCCAGAAAGGGAGCAGCTGGCACTGTCAGTCAACTATGCTCCCAAAGCAAATGATCCTGAAGGTCCTCTGAGGGGGCACTTCTGTGGCTACCAGGCTATGTAAGGAGAAGCAATTGAATACTCCCTGTCCTCAAGGAATTTACAGTTGACTGAATTCTTGATCTCCCATTTCAGATCTCAGTACTCCAATCTTGATCTCTGTGCTTTTACTTTAGAATGAAAAGTCAGATGACGATTTTGCTGCACCTACTCCATTCTCATGGGCGGGAAGCATGCCTTGACAACTGTTTTTTCATAGTAGGGAGAGGTGGGCCTGAGTCTGGTTTCCTTGTGGCCTGCAGCTCACTGGCTGTGTGTCTGGTCAAGGGGCAGAGCTCAGTCCGTCCACACAGGCTGACAAGCTTTGGCATACTCATTTGACCAACTCAGTTTACCAGCTGCATTTCCTATCCTTTCAGTTTGAATGAGAAATCTAACTAAATATTTTCTCTCTGCTTATTCTTTGTAGACTAACTCTTGTCTTACATAAAGTTTGAAATAGCGATTTCATCTGGCTGGTAGATTCTGAGTCCAATATCTTATTGCCCGAAGCTGAAAACATCCTAATTGATATAACTGATAAGCAGTTTTCAGAGCAAGAAGGAGGTGAGTGGTCTTGGGATGAGGCTTGATGCACTCCCAGATTTAAAGTCTACTTGGCACTGTTGAGATCTCCTAAATTGTGAAGCAGTATTTTGAAGACCACACTTGTTGCCTGAAAACATTAGTTGTTCACATAAGCACTGTCCAGTTTCTTAGTGATAGCTACTGGCTGGGCACTTAGGTGTCCATAAGACTTATTATCTAAACTGAGATACTTCTGAAAATAAAAGAGACTGTAGTCAACGATTACACCAAACTGATAGGTGTCCATCCAAACTGCCCCAGGCAAACCAGGAGGTACGGTCAGACATCATGCCTACGCGGCACTCGACTCGTCTCGAATGGCCTGGATCAGTTGCTTGCAAACACTTTTTAACTTCTTTGGGGGACTAATCCATCCATGTTCTGTTGTTTTTCTCTATCCAGACTCAGAGAAAGTAAAGAAGTTCACAGTTCTGGGGCCATCCACTTTGTCTTGTGATCTCACCCCGGGACCTCTGCCAGATACAGCACATGAGTTCCTAGGAAAAATGGATTCTCTCCATCCCGGGCTTCCTTCTCTGAGTCACTGAACCCACAGGTGTGTGCTTAACACACTTCACCCAGCTCTGGCACAGCATCTTGCCAGGTTAGCCCAGCAGAGGGAGAGGAGCATAAGGCATTACTGGATTTGTTCTCCTGTCAACAAAGGGGTTTGGTGGAAAATTTGGAGGTTTTTGTCTTTACTGCTCACTCAGACACTTAGGATATTTCTTGATTGCACAGTGGATTGGATTTGCCTTTTATAAATGGAGGGTAGAATAAAAAAGGTGTGGGTGTCACGTTTATGTGTGTGTGTGTGTGTGTGTGTGTATGTGCACACTGGAGTGTGGTGATTTGCGTATAGTGGAGTTGGGGGAGGCAGAGCCCACAGGGGTGGAATAGGGACTCAGGGGTCCATGATATTCATTGGTCTGCAAGTATATGCTGGGAGATTATTATTTTGTTAAGACAGTGTTTCAAACTATTTGCTCAGACCAGCGGGGATTTAAGCAAATGTTCTGACATTTTGGTTCTGATTTAAAAATTCTAGATCTTTTGTGAAACCTGGTTCAGATGGGATGTGTATGTGTTTTCTTTGCTTTTTTTCCAGCAAAAATAACAGTAAAACCACAAGGTTTTAATTCATTGTTTACCAAATTAAAAAGGCTTTTGAGATTTTTAATTCACAATTGATAAGCGTGATGGCTCTGGCGGGTGGCCTCAAGGCTGAAAGAGAGACCACAGGGAGCCGCCTCGCTTCCCCAGCTCCTGGTGGTATCCTGGTTCCGAGTCCTGTGGCTGCTGCAATCATGTCTTCAAACACTTAGTTGGGGGAGACTGATGAAATGTTTCATGATGAGCACAAAGATTGATTCTTTCAGTCATAGAAGGCAGAGAAAACTGCTCCGACCTTTAGAAGAGGGGGTCATTTCTAGGGAACATGGGAGCCTGGAGAATTAATGCATTTTGTTCTATGGACAATTTGCAATTTATTGCCATTTTTATAACTTATTTTTTACTTAAAAAATGGCACAGGATCATTATGGAAACTTTGGAAAAAATAGGAGAACACACACACACACACACACACACACACACACACACACAGACGATCTGTCATCCTGTTAGTCAAAAATAACCACTTTCAGTATCTTAGTGTATTTTCTTCTAATCGTTTTCCTTTACATACTATATATATATAAAAGTTTTACTATCTTGACAAAAATAAGATCATATTGCAAGTTTTGCTTTCTGGAAGGGAAGATGCAGCACAGGGCTCAAGATGGGATCTGGCTTCCAGTGGGCTAGCGGGCCAGGACTGGGAGACGGAAGATGGTGGGGACCACACAACGGACTCTCTTCACTTCCCTGAGAATCTACAGGTTGGATGCTCTAACATGAGACTCCTCTAGCATGTAGGAAGGCCTAGTTTGGCTCTAACATGAGACTCCTCTAGCATGTAGGAAGGCCTAGTTTGGCCCATTAGGCCACCAGGAGTGTGGCTGGAATGTTGGCAGAGCTCTTCGCTGGGTATGGAAGGAGGCTCCTCTCTGGGGCTTAAGGAAGGATTTTGTTTTAGAAATTAACTTTGCATTTTACACATGTGAATTACTCATGTTTTCAGCTCAGCATGCACTAGGCAGACACAGAAACCTGGAATCACGGTGCTCTGCTGTGGAGAACACGGACTACCATTTCACCTGCGAGTGGACATCCTAGCAGACAGACAACCTGGCTAGCCTCTCCCATTTTAGGGACCGAGAACCTGGACAGGCGCAGAATTTAGCTGATCCTTCTGCTCCAAGGCATTTGATGTGTGAGGGTAGGTGCTGGCCCTGGCATTCAGATTGAGGTTGACACACATGACACATCTTCCCACATAAGCAAACCTTCATCTCTCAGCAGACTCCTTGGACTAGAACAACAAGTTCACTTGCCAGCGAGGGAAAGACCACGTTACCCTTCTCCCAAGAATCTTGATACATGTTATCCCAGATGAAGGATTTTTATTAAACTAGTTTTTCGCACATACACATATATTGTGGACCTAACCCTGAAATTTAGTGTAACCACATGTGCTAAAGATTGTAACAGAGAAAGGTGGTAAATAGATTGTTTTAGTTTATCAAGATAAAAATAACATAAGTTCATTTTTTATATTAAAAAAGTCTTGTCCATATCTGTAAGCCATTGATTCTCAATCAGGGATGACTTTGCCCTCCAGGTGGCCTTGGTTCTCACAATGTGTGTGGAGATCTTACAGATAGCTAATGTTTTGAGGCCAAGGATGCTGATAAACATCTTAGCACAGAACAACCCTCCACAACAAAGAATTATCTGGCCCTAAATGTCAACAGTGCTGAGGTGGAAAAACCCTGGTATACTTGCAAGACTGAATGAGTGGATGTATTGGTGATGTTTTGTATTTTCTGTGTTTTATGATGTTTTGACATCTTACAAAGTTTGCTGGCTAGGGAGAGACTGCCCCTGCTAGGACAAGGCCTATTTTAGAGATAGCAAAAGGCTTGGCCAATCTCCAGACCAACCAATCTCAAGTCTGTAGCCCTAGCCACCTCCTTGTCTAACTCTCATACACTGAGCCACTATTTCCCCTGCCCTTGATTATCCTGGGGCCAGGTACCAGGCAACTGGAAACCACTCCTGTAGCCCAAATCCTGCCAGAATGACTCAGACTAGCCAATCCTGAATTATGCACTCTGCACTGCCTTCCTTTTTCATAGAAATCCCAATAAAGACTCTGGCTGAGAAGTTCCCACTAGCTCTTCTCCCACCTAACCAAAACCAGGGAGCTTCCCCTCTGGCCCTGTGGGACATGCAAGTGTGACCCCCTGTCTGGGACCTGTGAGTACAGTGAACTTCTTCCTTCCAAGCTTTGCTCCCATTTCCTCATGAGAGCTCGCATTTCCGCCTGTCACTGCACAGTGTTCATGTTTTCATGTCCAGCATATGTACATTCCTACAGCAGTGGGTACCAAAGAGAATTCCCTACCTCCATCTTCATATCTGCTATATCTCTGGGAAATCCACTTTAAAAGTAATAATAGAGAAACAATTCACATACTTTTTCAGGGCGCTTCTTTCCTGACGATCTTCCTCCAGTTCTCGGTAAAAAGTCTGTTTACTAATTTCTTTTTCCCAGAAGCTTTTGAGCTCATGACAAGTTTCACAGCAGAAGACTTCTCGACGGACGTATTGATTGTTCATCCCCTGAAACATACAAGTAAAACACATCTCAGTTCTTTAAATAAAGCCACTTTAGCTTTGGAGTGATAGAAAGATGAACTTGCATGTAGACACTGCCATTTACACTTTTTTTTTTTTTGGTGACTGTGGATGCATCACACACACATGTATTTTGAGTCTGTTTCCTCAGCTGCAAATAGGAATAATAATAGTTATGCCAGAAAACATCAGGAAAAATTTTGAATTAGACAAAACCAAAAAGGGTATCTGGTAACTCTTCCAAATTATCTGATTTTAAAACTTGCCCTTTTCCCTGTCTTTGAGCTATTTGACAATTTTGTAAATTATAGAAAAAGTATAGTAATGAAAATGATTCATAACAGAGAAATCCAAATAAATTTTGTGGAGTGGAATGCAATTGCTATACCTACGAATATCAATCGATTTTTTCATTGATGTGGTTTTACAATTTTCCTTGGACTCAGTTGTAATATCATACTAGTTTTTTCCTTATGTATAAGTTAAATAAAATATTTGATACATGTTCATTTTATATTTGAATGTGATTCATTATTTTAGCTTTCTTTAAAAACTATCCTTTAACAGTTACTTCCCAGTTGTGTGCATGTGTAAGATGAGCATCGTCAACAAGTGCTAAGCCTCATGCATGACAAATGGCCGACACCCAGCAAACAGCGTGCTCTTTCCATCCTTCCTCACAGAATAGCAAGTGCCTCTGCCATCTATCGAGCACCCAGCGTGTGCCGGGCACGCTTTACACACTGTCTCATCTGACGCTCACTACAGCTCTGTCTCCACTCACTGTTCAGATGAGGAAACGAAAGAGAGAATCTGCTTGTGGCCATCACCGCAAATGGAAGAGCTGGCATTTGAACCTAGGTCTGTCCCTCTTCAAAGCCAGTGCTCTTTGCTCCACAGATCCTCTTTGCTCACAAGAAGTGCCCACTGTGTTTGGAAATGGGTACGTCCGGGGAAAGCTCGTTCAGCGTATGTATATACATCCTATGAAGAGACACATATGGAACCGAAAAACGTTTGCTTTTTACCTGAACGTGGCCCACTTTCCAGATCTTAGTAGCACCATCAGGCAGGTGGACACAAATGCTTGCACAACAGATTCCTCCCTGCCTGCTGGCAGCTCCTGCTCAGAGAAGCGCTTCAGCCCTGGCTGGAGACTGGAAAGGGACCTGGTCCCTTACTCCCCAGCTACAAAGTACTTCTGATCCCATGCAAGCTGGGTTTTCCCGGGGCATCCAAAGAATTGGGAGCAGCAGAGTTTAGAAAACGCTTCAGAGAAGAGGCTGGGCGCGGTGGCTCACGCCTGTAATCCCAGCACTTCGGGAGGATGAGGCGGGCAGATCACAAGGTCAGGAGATCGAGACCATCCTGGCTAACACACTGAAACCCTGTCTCTACAAAAATACAGAAAATTAGCCTGGCATGGTGGCGGGAGCCTGTAGTCCCAGCTACTCGGGAGGCTGAGGCAGGAGAATGGTGTGAACCTGGGAGGCGGAGCTTGCAGTGAGCCGAGATTGTGCCACTGTACTCCAGCCTGGGTGACAGATCGAGACTCTATCTCAAAAAAAAAAAAAAAAGAAAGAAAAGAAAAAGAAAGAAAAAGAAAAAGCTTCAGAGAATAAATAACATTTATTATTTTATATTTATGGTATAGCATAATTTATATTTCATTTATATTATACTTATGTGTATAATAGTAGAATATGATGCCCTTATCAGAGGGGCAGCAAGAGCTTCCTGCATGAAGGGAACAGCATGTGTAAGTGTCCTGAGGTAAGAAGAAGCTTGAAACTGAAAACAGTTTTGGGTATTGAACAAAGATTTTAAGAATCCGCTTCCAGTGTTCTTCCTCCTGGACCCATCTTCCAATCACCTGCTTATTTCTGTAGTCAGGGCTGCCCTGGAAAAAACTGCTGAGCATGTGGGTGGGTGGTGGCAGCGAGGCAGGTCAGGATGGGGACGATGGAAGGGGATGCGGGAGAGAAGAGGGAGAGAACATTTTCCTTGGTACTAGCTGCTCTGCGGGTGGTTCTCACTGGTCACACACAGCTACGTGAGGGCCACTGCTTTTTTATTTAAAACATTTATATTTTGTATTAAATGTTTAAAAATAATTTTTAAATATATTTTTAAATCGACAAAAGCTGTATATAATTGTGTACCACATGACGTTTTGAAATGTGTACACGTTGTGGAATAGCTAAATCGAGCTAATTCACATCTCATTTTGCGCATAAAGGAGTTGATTTTCAGAGGCATTGATAGACCGTGTGGAGGTTCCACAGCTTGGGAGCAGTGTGGCTGTCAGGACTTGGAGCCTGCAGTCTTCCCTCTGCTCCAGGACACTCCCTGGAAAGAGGAAGTTTGACTTAAGTGCCCTCTCCCACTTGAGGTGCTCAGTGACCTTACCCTTTCCTGTGACTGATGGATGCTGAGGTGTTTGTGACTTACAGGTGTAGAGCTTCTTGAACTGAAGCTCAGTCTTATTTTCTTTTTAATGCATTGAAGCATTTAATGGGTGTTATTCAAGTTAAATGAAACGACCCCCTTCCAAATTATCTTTTTCATATGAAGAGCCGGCCCCTTTGGAGTATCTCAGACATTGAGGGTCTGAGCGTGGATTGCCTTTCTACTTTTTGGGTAAGGGAAACGCTCACATCCAGTTACCTTCTGCAGTCTACCAGGCTGGAGTTGTGCTGTGGAGCCTCTGGAATTTCTCTCCAAACCCTGGGGCCGTCCTCCAGCCTGGCCCAAGCACACACTCCTGTCTTTCAAGGGCATGTTTCTCACCTATTTTCTTTCCCAGGCTAATCATTCTGTGCACAGAATTCTAATAAATTTCTAGCCACGGGACATTGAAAGAGAAGCCACTAACAAAATACATCTGATTTTACATTTTAATTCATAGAACTAGGGTGTGGAATGCATGCCCTCCTCTAGCAATTAGGCTTCCTGTGGATTTTGTTTAGGCTCCAGGGATATCTAAGGCATCTCATTTTCCTGATGTACAAGTTCAAGATAAGAAGACAGTGCTTGCTTTTAACTGCGAGGAAAGTGTTAAATGCAGAGCTTGCAATGTAAGTATGCAAAAGGTAATGCCTTTTATGTGCATAATATTTTCACAGATGTTCTAAATTACAAAATACCCCTAAAGATTACAAGTTCATATCAGGTACCTGGTATTTAGAAAAAGAATAGCTTGGTCAAACAGGTGCTCACTGAAATGTTCTTCTTTTCTCAAAATTGATAATGAACATTTTGTTCTAAAGAGCTTCATTATGAAGACGAGAGAGGCCCGTGCAGGAACACAGCCTGCTCACATCCCCATGGCATTTTACATCCTCTCTGGGAGGAAGGTGTGGTTTGGATATGGAAGGAGGATTTACTCTAGCAGATACTCTAGGTGCACCGTCATGAGCTGAGTTACAGAAAATAGCTGGAAGCAGGGTGGTCTCCACACACCCAAGGAGTAAATCAAATCAGGGTGAACCTGGGCCGGACGTGGTGGCTCACACCTATAATCCCAGCACTTTGAGAGGCCAAGGCAGTCACACCTATAATCCCAGCACTTTGAGAGGCCAAGGCAGGCAGACTGACGAGGTCAGGAGATCGACCATCCCTGGCTAACACAATGAAACCCCGTCTCTACTAAAAAAAAAAAAAAAAAAAAAAAAAAAAAAAATTAGCCAGGCGTGGTGGCACATGCCTGTAATCCCAGTTACTCAGGAGGCTGAGGCAGGAGAATTGCTTGAACCTGAGAGATGGAGGTTGCAGTGAGCCGAGATAATGCCACTGCACTACAGCCTGGGTGACAGAGCAAGATTTGGTCTCAAAAAAAAAAAAAAAAAAAAAAAAAAAATCAGGGTGAACCCAAAGGAAATCAGACTATGAAGAATCTGATGCATGCAAGGTCTGCTTCTCATTCGTTTTCGACCAAAAAAAGCACTTCTAGGGTCTCTATTTTCATAGAGTAGCTTCAGAGTAGTGGGCAAGTGGGCATGAGCTTTGGAAGGACTTAGGAGGGGACATGAACTCAGACACCTTTAGGGATCCGTAAGCATCTCAAAGGAGTGAAGTTACTGGGAGCAGTTGCTCTGGGTCTTGAAGGGCACGTGCTCTGCTTCAAGACGTGCATTCCAAAAAGGTCCAACACCACACTGACCCAAGAAAACACGGCCCTGAACTATTTTGCTTTCGCTATGCCTTCCTCTTTCCTACGCTGTCTCACGGGGCAGCCCCCTATTCCTACTTCTGCACCCAAGCATGCAGATACCAGTCTGGCTGGCCAGGCTTAATACTGCTGTCATTCCAGCAGGAACTGGGGTTGGAGTTCTTCACCAAGTCACAGCCCAACCTCTAGGGGTCACGTAGACACAGCTGTCCTGCCTGCGAAACACAGCTGCACCCCTACCTCCCTTGTCAGGCCAGGAGGCTGCATCCTGACAACCAGGGTGGAGAGAAAGCTCAGTGGAGGACTTGTCACTGTCGTGACTTTGGGCAAGCAAGCCCTTCACTTGCTCTGAGCCCCTTTCCTTAGCCATGTAGTGGAGATGAAGTGTGGTAACATACAGGAAAGTGCCCCAACACAGCCCACCATTCATTCCCCAAATGCCCCTCCCCACATGCTTGTTCAGGGAACTCACAATGCATCTCCTTTTCCCTGGCAAGCATCAAAAGTACTAACTGAATTTGAACCACCACCTAAATACTGTCTCCTTGTCTTTAGTTTATACCTGATATCAAATGCTTTGCTTCTTATTGACTCAGCCCATACTGAAGGCTGATTTATCCCTGTTGCTGGGCTGTAAGAATTAGAAAGCCTTAGATCATGGGGATAAGAGGCTTCCCATCTTGTCCCAGGCCCAGTGCCGGACCACGTCCAGAGAAGCCTTTAGTAAAGCTCTTGGTGATGAGTTTCACCCTTACATCACTTAGGATGTTATATTTGTGGGCTCTCTGTGGTCAAGCCCTATAATCACATTTAC